CATCACCAATACGTACTGGTAATTGAGTTTCAAATAATTCATAGTTAGTGAACCATTCTTTTCGACTGGTCATGTGATCACTTGCACCTGAATCCACATACCATTTTTCTGACTCACTGATTTCGATGTCCTTTGATTGTACTCCAACCAACGCATTTCCTGAGTTTGATTCGCTCTTATTTTTTTCTTTTTGTTCTTTTAAGAAAATCCGGCATTCACGTTTCCAATGCCCTGGTTTTTTGCAATGATTACACTTGCCTGGTTTTTTATCATTGTTCCGTTGGTTTTCAGAAATACCAATTTTTGTATGTTTTTCTTTATTTGTTCCATATGATTTCTTTGCTGAAAATGCACTACCTGCAATATCTCTCTGAACATCATGTCCTTGAGTTTGCCTTGATTCTTCCACCATGAGTCTAGATGTCAAGTTTGTTAAAGTTTTATTCTCACTTGACATTGAATCCCAAGCACTATAAAAATGTTTATAAGTGTCTGGTAACGTCATTAGAATCTTTGTCATCAGCATTGAATCAGATATTGGTTCTCCTGATTGTGCCAATTGCTTACTTAAATTTTCTAGTTTTGATATGTGACCAGCCATACTGTCTACGGGGTCCATAACATAACTATAGAATTTTTCTTGTAACAAAGAAATGCTTGTTGCAGACTTCTGTTCATATATGCTGAGCAATTTGTCCCACATTTCCTTTGCTGTTTCACAGTTCATAATATATAATAATGGCTGTTCGTCTACAGATGTTACAATATATTTTTGAGCTTTATTGTCAGCTCTTTTCCAGACTGAATAATCAACACCATACCTTTTTCTTGCATCATCTTCAGTTTCTGAACTTGATTTTGTAAGAACGGGTTTTTTCGATTTTCCGGTCACAACGTCAAATATATCGGCTGCATTCATAATGACTCTCATTTGAAACTTCCATTGTTGCCAGTTTTCGTTGCTTGTTAGTTTGTTAATTTTTATAGATTCGTTTTCCATAATAACAAATTATCTGTACACTGCCTGTACACTATAAATTTAAATTTAACACAACTAAATACGTTTTCTGCACTTTACACGATCAGTACACTTACTACGCAAACGCACTTCGACTATACTGCACTATATTACTTCGCGAATTATTATTGCTGTTCACTGTCTTTACACAAACACGCGATTCGTAAATCAATAATTAATGTATTAAACATACACGACTTTATTATAAATACCTTACTACTGGGCCCATAACCTGCTGAAGTACACAGATATACAGAAGCTAAAGGTAAATAAATGTAAGATCGGATATGATATGTAATAATATAATAATATGTATAATTGATATGAATAACTATAGTGCTCCGATGCGTAATATAAAACAACGACTAATCGTCCTACAGGCTAGTACATATAACGAATACGCTATAGAAATATAAAATGCCTATTCAGCGTCTGCTGTACTACAGTGTGAATAATTTGCTTATAATCTATATAATACAGGGTGTGTTGTTTACATTCAACAATTACCAACAACTAACTCGAAATAATTTAAAAATTTTCATCTTGATGAGTTTTACGAAATATACTGTAACCAACAAATATATAAACACTGTTATTTTTTACAGACATTTTAAGTTCAAATTTGGACGAAATTACATACTAAAACCTAGAATAAAGATTTAAGTTGTTTTGTTGTAATTTAAAAAAATTGTTAGTACTGAAAACTTTTAGAGTATATATTGTTATATTTTATACACACATTGACCATTTCAAAATTAATGCAATTATTTTATAATAGTCTTAGATTGTGACATTTTTAAAAACGTCGAATCGCCTAGTGAGTACCACTCTAATAAAACATGTTAATAATTTTGCCGTGTACCTACTAATGAGAAATATATGAACAACTGAAAACCTTATATGAACTTACTATAGTCGTATTTCAATAGAATTACCTACCTAAGCTAAAAATCAAAAAATCAATATTATTTATAAAAATTGTTTAATCTTAATTTCTTATAAATACATATATATGTATATACAGCAATAAAATTCCCACCCTTTCCGTTTGAAAAGAAAGGCCTATTTGCCATGGCAGTCTCTAAGAAAGACCCGATCAGGTAGAACCTTTTTGGCTAATAAGTTATAGTAATTTGTGGTTTACGTAGTAAATAAACGTATCTTTTAACCATTTAAATAACCTTTTTGCGCATTATTCTTTTAAACACGACCTACTCTCTTAACCAAGGATAATAACGAGCCTTTCCATATCACTGTCTCACCGATTAAACGAAAACCGAACTACAGTGGTATAAAAGACAATTTTAGGTAGCCAAATATTTTTAAAACTAAAGTAAAAATTAACTCTTCTTGTTTTTACGGCATCAATGTCATTAATTACTTTGTTTAGGTATATCCAATATCTTGTCTAATTGAGTTTTGCAGGTAATTCTTTATGAACTTTAATTTTGAGAAAGATCTCTCTGCCGAAGCAACTGTTACGGCCTTACGGTTAAAGTTAAATAAATTAGACATGCACTTAATACATCACTGTATGTAGTGCTGAAATCATTTTCTGAAATAAATATGGCAAGATCTTTTATATGTTTTATAGTTTCAATTTTATTTATTATCGTATCTTTATACCCGCATTCCGGTACCTAACAGTATACAGTTATATGGTACACAGGTTTCTCACATAAGTACTAGTAATTCGAATTCTTTAAACTCAAAAGAGTACAGAGATTATTATTTATTGTTATTACATTAAAACAAATAATATAATATGTGTATATTACAGATGATAGTAGGAATATATATGAGTTCTCGGGGCCCCGCAAAACCGGGGGCCTCTGTGAATTGTATACTCAAGTACCTAACACTAGTAACACTCCCGATAACCACTCCGCCGGGATTGTACAGGTGTCGTTGTATATAAATAAGCCATTCCATCTATCACTTCACTAAGGGGTAAAAATGCTAAAGCGTTAATCATATCGTAACTTTTTCTAAAATCCATGATATTTCTGTACAAGCCATGTATAATCCTGTATCTATTACAAAATTTAACTTTTTGGATAACTTCTGCAGTATTAAAGATATTTCAAAATATCAAAATTAAATCTAAATTACAACTAATTATGCTCAATTGTGTAACGTTTTAATTTTTAAACTGCTGATATTATCTTTTGAGCTATTTAAAATATTATAAAAATTATGCAACGTTGTGGACAACTTTGATACCTACATTTCTCTGTGTGGTATTAAAATAACATCGTTTTATGAAAAGAAAAAAATACTCTGGTGAATAAAATCACAAGTGTATCAAAGTTACACTATTATACGGTAGAAAATAATTAGGTAGGATTTAAAATGTAAAAGCTGATGTTTTTAAATCTCCGGACTTATTTCTAACTATCTGAAATCTCAAAATTATTAAACATTATTTATGTAAATTAATTTTTCTTACTGTAAAACTGTGACACTATTTTCACAGGATATGTTGGCCAATTGGGTTCTGTGTTAGCATATTCCATTATCATGCTTTTAACATTGTCAGTTTTTGGCCATCTTGAAATCTACATAGTACCACATTCAATGAGCCAGTTGTATGGGATGACGGAGTATTGGTTTTCATCATTAAAATAACCAACAACCCACTAAATAACAATTATAGTATTTGGAACAAGTCTAGTTTAACGCCCACTCGAATTTTTCAATTTTTTTTTCGGAAACCTTTGTATTTCAACGAGTTTAAGACGATGGTGTAAAAACTTGGGAAGGTGATACATAACAAATCGAGGGATATTTACGTTTTTAATTGTTCAAGAGAGCGCAGAGATCAAGTGCTTTTGATAATTGCAAAATAACTTAATATAGCTTATTCTATTATCATAAAGTGCATATTAGTAATAAAAATATGGTAATAGCCATAATGGTATGAAAAAATCACGCCCCACGGCCCACGCGGGAGTAGTGTGGCCCGCATGTGTATAAACGTAAAATCGCAAACTTTGGAAGGCTATAACTTCCAAAATATACATTTTCGCAAAATTATTTTCACACCGTCGTGTTAAACTCGTTGAAATACATAGGTTTCTGAAAAAAAATCGAAAAATTCACGTGGGCGCTAATAACTAGACATATTATGCCAATTGTTCTTACCTTTAAAACAGTAATTTAGGTACAATAAACTATATGAATCTAATTTATTATTAATAACCCTAAAAACTATCATAAATGTTAATATTAGGTATAGGTATTTAAATAATTTTTAGTTGGATAAAATTGTATAAACACATTAATATCTTCATAATATATTATAGGTAGGTACTTATCTAATAATCTGCATCAAAAATGCTTATTATATTGGCACTATTTTGCCAATTTAGCATTAAACATAATTAATTGTTTTAATCATAAAATAATTACCTGTTTTGAAAACATCTTACAATATAACGGAAACTTCAAATAAGGCGAAACGACGATCAATCAAACAGATATATTAAACTCGAATAGCCAAACAGGTAAATTGAATTATGTTGGTCAATTAGTAGATCAATTTAAATAACTTTAAAAAACCAGTAGGTAATATTAGTTACACATTAAAAAAAACATTTAAACGTATCAAAAACATCTGGTGCGCGTCAGTAGTGCGGCTGTCTAGACGACTAGACGAATAGTACAATAAACTATAAAAATAATTCTGATAGTATTAAAAAAATATTTATATTATTTTATATTATTTTATTATAATTATATAACTATAAATATATTTTTCAGTAGATGCATATGTGATAACTATGGGACGTCGCTATCTATTTATAGATATTAAAAAACCAATAATCATATATAGCATGTATTACATGTCACTTTTGTAACTTCTATGCGTTATTACAGAGTGATTTCTCATACACCACTGAGCCACGATGTTTTATAGATATCCCTAAATAGGCCTATTTAATTTTTTTTTACAATACATCTATGAGTCCGAACATAGATATTACAGTGTGTCGTCACATTTGAGACTTAAAACGGACATCCCATAGACTTCAACATCTTCTCTTTGCACAGGGAATGAACATATTATACCTAATTGTTGAGCTTTTCGACATGTAGATTGGCATAAATGAAATATTTCATATTGGGAGGTATTAATCTTACCAATTTTTGGTAAAACTAAATTAAAAATAATCGTTCATAATTTAATCCTTTTTTCATAAGAATTTGAGAAACTTTGACTATTGAGACCCACACCAGTATTCCAAATTTATATAAAGACCGTACCAGTTTTCTGTTTACCATTATATTGTTCTAAATGTAATAATGCATTTTTTTAAGCATTAGGTATAGACGTATAGTATACGTTGTCAACGTATTAAGTGTATTAATGGTTTTTGAACTTTCGAAGAAACTGTGATGGCTTATGTTTTTATACAAACTACAAAGTATAAATAAGATACAATTTTAAAAGTAAATGTACAATTTTTTAGACTTTTTATCGTGGAACATTATTTCGATTGGTATTTTGTTAAAAATCGAAGAATAAATCATTATCTATATTTAACATCTTCATTCTTCAGGTGGTCGTTTGTAAGTAAAACAATCAAGGGTAGACTTCCATTTTTTCTTTTGAAGGGAATGTATAAAAATATATTTGGTGCCCTATAAATATATTTTTTCTTATGGCACTTAAATTTGACAGGCCCGCTACCTAATACAAAAACATTTTTATATTGCTTTAATGTTGCTTTGATTGTAGGTGTGTGCCATGAAGCTATATACCACACAATTACTCTATGCTCATTTAACTGGATGAGACTCATTACTTAATTGTGCATTTAGACATTTAGTGTTAGTATAATGCTGAATTATTGAACTTAAAAAATATTTATTATAATTTATTAATAGCTTTAGTTTCATTTTTGCCTATACTAAACTGTCTATTGTCTATAGTCTATACCCATTGGCTATTACCTAATTAGTAATTTATTGATGTTCGCAAGGAACTGTATTGGAAAGAAAAATAAATTATGTCTATCGCCACGCAAATACCCATATAAAATCCACATTATAGAATATAGATTGTAGCCTGTTGGTAAGTTGAGTAGACACATAATTATCAATCGACAATCGATATGCCAACGAGCTATACGTCTCGCTGTCTCGAAAACTCAGGTATTCATATTTCATATACAAGTAGGACTCGGACGTAACCTATATACATTAATACATAATCATTTATCGATGTTAGAGTAAATCATAATTTAATAAATGATGTATATCTACTGTTAATAAATTGACTGTGAATTCGAACGGGTAAATATTAACATGTTAATACTCTGGAATCCCGTGGGATCCAATCTTCCAATAATTTCAATAGTCTGTCACGAGCATTATTTTCCATGCGTTACTTTCCTCCAGCCTGTCGCAGGTACTCACTACTCGTCTATATTGTATACTTTTATCTTCACTTTTTGGACAAGTTAAGTTGTGGACTAGTGGTAGTCAACAAGACAAGTTGATTATGGTTGTTTATTAATTCAACGTAGCCACGTAGGTAATTTTGAAAAAAATCATATAGTATCAGTAGTATTACTAGTATTACTCAATAGTCTATCGAATATGTCAAGGAATAGATATATCACGAGAGAACTATATTAAGGCTCTCTAGGTATATGGTATATTTATATCCTGTATCTAAATGTATATCCACGAAATGCATATACATAGTTATAAGTTATTAACTGTCACTTGTCAGTTGACAATATTTACATTGTTAATACAGTTAATATAAGTACACAATACGACTACAAGTAGACAATTACAACAGCGACGGAGCAAACTTTTTGAGTTTTTGGAGCAAATTGTCCATTTTTAATATATCTACCACCAATCATTCCCTTTATTACACTTGAAATGATAATATATTAACGATAATATTTGTTATGACAATTATTGTGTTGAGGTGTTACAATAACACCACCCACCTATATTAGACACGAAGCAATTACTTCTATTAATAGTCCCATATCCCGCCGCCACTGAACTACAATAATACAGCTACTAAAATACGACGGACTATATTATGCAAATTCAAATTATCATTAACTATAAATAATCAATATAATTAATATAATACTGAAGGGCGGTTCATAGCTCTCCGTGTCGTGTAGAGTTGAATGTATAGTATTTAACTTGTAGGTAACGTGTGACCAGCATTTTGTCGCCCATGTATTAAATATACCGAACACCAGGGATGTAGTCCTAAAATTATTTGTGAGTATGCTTAATATGAGGCAGCTTTAGGGGGGCTTTTGTCATCAACCCCTACCCCCCCCCTCCTCAATCACCGTTCTATTACCTATATAAATTAATAATAATACATTTTATTAACTTCAACAGTGTAATAATTAATATTATTATAAAATTTATTTATTTACCAAATACATAATAACATAAACATAATATTAAAAACTTATAAATTAAGGTTATAGAATATTCCATAAATTTTGTTTTAAACTTTCTTTTTCTTTTCTATTTATTTTTCTGGATCTATTGTCATCAGCCGTTCTATGGTGTAAAATCCAACTTTTGACATAGTCTTCAGGGTCCCATATACTCAATGGTGGACCATTAATGTTAATCATCATCAAATTTGAAATATTGTGAATTGTCAATCTTGAGCGTATGTCAGTGCAAATAATATTCATTAAGCTAAATCCACGTTCACATTCTGCTGTAGAACATGGGATCGTTTTTATCAAATTATTTATTTCATTTAGTTCTTCAATTTCATTGGTTTCTTCGTCGATTAATATTCTTAATCCTCTTAATGTTTTTTCTTGATTTAAAAGAAATCTGTTACAAAGTCGTTTTACTTCCTGTTCACCAAAACGAATATTTACATCAGCTGGCCATGTTTTTTTATCTAAAATTTGAATATCTTGTATGATTATTTTATCTTCTTCATTATTATCTAATAGTCTCATGTTTAAATTGTTAATAATACTTGTAATAAATTGGTTTTTATTGATACATACTAATTTAATATTATTACACAAAGGGATATTTTTAAACATCATTTGTTCGATAGCCTCGACTGCTTCAGCATAATAATCACCATTGATAGTTTTTAAAGAATCAATTACTCTAATAGTTCTTTTAATTTTTTTATCAGCTTGTATCAAAGTTGCATCCCGACTTTGCAAATCTAATGACAGTTGAGATAATTCAGACAACACATCACACATAAGTGCCAAGTCTGAAAGAAATTGTAAGCTTTCCAACCGTTTACAAAGACCTTTATACTTGGATCTAGTTTTTTGATCACGATACTTATCCTCAGAAGCTTCTTTAAAGTGTTTGTATAAAGCTGGATACATCTTCCAAACTACTTTTACAGTTCTATAGCTGCTAGCAACCCAACGAACATCGAGTACTCGACCAATTTTTAAAAATATTTCATTTAAACTTTCACAATGCAATTTTAATTCGTTTTGGTTCTTAGGTGATCGACTATACAAAGAATATAATGTGTCCAGAAAATATTTGAAATGATACGTTGCTGTAATATCTTTTAACACATCATTAACTGCCAATTCTAACCTATGGTTAATGCAATGCCAACTAAATATTATTGGAAATTTTTCTTTTAAGCGTGCAGCAACTCCATTAGTTTTTCCTAAAAGAACACTGGCTCCATCTGTGACAAATGATATCCAATGTTCTTTTAAATAAATATCAGTAAATCCACGTTGATGTAAACATTCAAGTAGTTGGTCTATGATGTTTATAGATGTTTGACTTTTCAATTCAATTAAATCCAAAAATATAAAAACAGGTGAATCATATGATATGGAGGCTTTGAGATAAATAATCATACCAGATGATGAACTATTTGTTGTTGATTCATCAATTAATATAGAAATCTTTGAATTGGTTTCTATAATATTTTGAATAATTTTATTTCTCATTTTAGTAGCTATATGATCAATAATAGAAGTACTTGAATATCTCGAATGTAATGTTTGGCCTAATAAAACCCCATTCATTTGTTGTAATTCAACAAGATCTGAATGGTCATCAAATGGTCGGTTATTTTTTGCAATAAAATAAACAGTGCGAAATATTTTTATTGTAGATTGATAATGTTTAGAAGTTGAAGTTTCAAATGATGTACTTAATTTACTATGTGTTTTTTCTCTTGAAATATTTAAAGCAAAGTTGTGTGCTTTAGATCTATTGTGTCTTGATATTTTATGTCTTAAAATACTTAAACGAGTAACTAATTTTGAATTGGTACCACCATCAACGTTTATTTGACTCCATTCAGTTGAGATTTCAACACCTTGACTTTTACATGTTTTTAATTCACCAACATTTTTACAATACAAACATCCAATTTTACCATCATCACAAATGAGCCAAGGATATCTATCTTTTTTCTGAATCCATTGATTGTAAGTCCATTCAGAAGGCCAAAGATGTACTTCATTAAATGGATTTGTGTTGGAATTTTTCTCTGAAGCATCTTTGAGTTGTTTCTGATCCTAAAATATTATAATAAAAATGATCATTCAAATATTGATAATATTTTCTAAAAAAATTATATTAAAAGTACTAAACAATATTACCAATTTTGAAATTTTAGATGGTGTCTTAGACGATGATATACATGTTTCCTCTGAAGTAACTGGATCATCCGGATCTGAATTTTTTTTTTCTTTGAATAATTGTTTATCCTATAATATAATGTCACAGTAAAAAGTTGTATATATACTTAGGTATATTAATAATACTGTGTACTTTATATATTGTGATATATTTCAGCTTCAAAATATAATCATTAATCGATTACCTACGCATATTTTTGTCCATTCATAATTTTAGACATACAATTATTTGTATGCATACTATTTATACTCATACGAACATATCTTTTATATTCATTAAGAGTTTAAAAAATGTATAATTCATTTTAAATTATGTTTATAATATAACAATATCAATTTTAGGTATATTGTTCATAATTTAATTTTTAAATTATAAATAACCATCTACTTAATCATTTATTACTTCAATTATCAATTAATATTTAATTCACAATTTATAAGAGATAAATCTAGTTTTAAATAATGTACTCATTATTCTATTATATTTTTAATTATTTATAAAACTGTTATTCTTATAGCACCACTGGTATCGAATGTAACAAACAAATTTTATAGTAATAATTATTAAATTATTGTGACCAAATTTGTGTATATTTATATATTAATATTATATTACAAATTACAATGATGTTTTAATCATCGTCGAAGAAACAAGGCAGATAAAATATACAGTGAAATAGTAATATTATCATAAACATTTTGAAGTGTATATTTTATTATTTTCTATTATTATTTTCTAATAATTATTTAAAATAAAAGTTATTTATTGAGTATTGACTTACCTTTGTAGATCGTATTACAAATTTATCCATATTGAACTATATTCACTGAACACAGTACCACAGTGACTAGTGACTCGTAGTTACTAGTTAGACTGTCGAATGACAAATAAGTAAATAACATAATAATATACCTACTACGATATAATTATTATTGATTGTTGACAAATCTTAAATACACTGTACAAACAAAATACGTCATAATATAATTTTATCATGTTATCGATAGCGTCGATAGCGGCTAATCTAAAAATAGACTGTTGTATACAAAAATCCATTTAAAATATTATATCATATTATCTATGAGCAATGGGCATTCCGTAACCCGCATTTCTCGACAGTTAGACATAATAATATTATGTTATAGAATTAAATGATTACTGCCTACTGACATAAGACAATTTTTGTGATGTGACCAAGTGGCTAATGCTGGGTATACGCACGTTTTTCAGAGCATACTTGCGGTCTCTAGTTTTTTTCTTGAGTATGCTCTCTTTTTAAAATTTGGAAAGTGGGTATGCGGCGCATACCTGCGCATACCCTCCACTACATCCCTGCCGAACACTACTCGACATGGCGATGTGACGTGAATCCACCTTTATTCATAGTAATATTGCCTGGCGTGGTCTGTGCTACCATACATCGCACAAAGTACAGTACACACAATGTACGCGGAGTCACGTCATGATATAATATTTAGAGCAACACGGTAATACGTGGATCGTAACTTTCTGACGGTCCGATCCTCGGGTAGGCGCGTTGCCGTGTGCGCACTGCGCAGAGTGCCAGAGTGCTGTAGTTGTCCGTAAGCTCTGCTGTACACTTGGACCACGATTGAGCTATTCAAGATAATAATATCTACAGCCGCGACATGAACCAAACCTGGATGTCGACAACCATGTAACGTGTTCTCTTGATATCATGCATTTTTTCTACAAACCGCAGTAACTTACATAACCTAATAATATTATTAATGATTATTCAGTATTGTTTTCGTTGTAACGTAACACGGCTATTAGCGTTGTCCTGTTCTATTGCCTATTAACTTACTAACGACGCTGATACAGAGCACATGCTTATTGCTTTTGAGTTTTCTTAATTATAGTAATTACGGTACTTGTGGTTATTGTTGTTTTCCAAATCCTAAATATCATTATAAATTGTAAGTATTTCATTAGGAATATAATATTTGTCAAAGGTACTATAGTTACCTACATATTGTATATATTTTTTATTTATTTAATAACGTATTACGTTCTAACCGTTAATTAGTGTTCTGCCAATTGATTTTAGTGCATTTTTTGTCATATGCGTACGCGTAAATAAAATACCCAAGACTTAATTCAATTGACGTTTATATGTGTCGTTCTTGTACCATCTTCTATGATGTCGAGTTCCATTGAAATTGATGAGATAATATCTAATTTAAGAGCAACCATCACATCAAACAAAGGCGGTGTGCAATTAAATTGCATTGAATGTAAGTACCTACTAACTACCTATCAATAGATATAATTAGTATTATACTGCCTAGATATATTTCAAGTCTATATAAGAGTGTGCATTGTAAAAGAGTTTTGTGTTTAAATAAATTAAAATAGAAAAAATATTTAAAAAAGTTAATTTTGCTGTAGGTATATTATTTTAAAACTATTAAAAATCAATTAGTTTTCATTAATCCCAGCCTAACACATAATAATGATTAATACAATATTTAACAAATTATAAATGAGCCATCAGCTAACCAAATGATTTTAAATAAAAACTATTAGTAGGATGCATTTTTTTTTACTAAATACCTATTGAACAGACAGAAATCCATTAGAATTTCAGGGAAGGAGGATAATATTTTTAGCATATTATATTTCAAACATTAAGGACTGTGCTCTACATTCTAGGTATTCATCTATAAAAATGAATATAGTTTTTTATTTTAACAGATATGTAGGTAATAATGTAATTTCATTATAAAGGTAATTACTAACAAATATTTATATAATTAAAGAAATACCGTAAATGCATACAGATATGAGCTGAAAATAGGGAGTGAAGTTTAAGTATAACATTGTTAGAAAAAGATTATATGGGACTTGAGTCCTTTCGTAATATGTAGGTATATTGGCTATATCCATCATATTATATTGGAAATATAAAAAAAAACACTGATAAACCACAAACCTATGAATGTTTGTGGGTAATGCTCAGTCCATAATATATTATGTACATATTAATATGAATATGATCATAGGCGTGTATAGGGAGCATCCCTGCAGAGTAATCATAATCATAGTTGTTAATATTTTGATTAGAATTGTGAACTAAGATAGTTCATGATAAGAATTTAAATATTTAAATATTTTTTTTATTTTTCTTATTTGGGAATTTGAAAAATCATTGTGAGAATTGTCGGTTTTGTCACAGAACATTTTGGCCTCTGTTTTATTGCTTATTTTCGTACTACTTTCAAAAATAAAAAATTTTTGATTAATTAGTTCATAATTTTAGATTCTGCGCAAATATATATAATATATAACATATAATAAATCTATTACAATGATGAGTGTTTTTTTTCTGTCTACTTACCATCAACATTTAGGAAACTAAAAATGCTCTGACTTTTGACATCAGTATCTTTTCTGATAAAATGAATCTAGTTGGTACTTTTGAGAGGTCAAAATTGAAATTTCCTAGTAGTTTTTTAAGGCTTTTTGAAAAAACTAGTAATATTTATGCAAAACTAATTTTTGAAAAAATCAATTTTATTTTTTGGCGTGATTCAAAAACTATTTTCTGTAGATACATAACATCTTCACCAGGTATTTATATTAGAATTTTCCATGTATGGTAATATTTTCAAAATATTTTGATTCTTTTGAGTTATTTATAGCCTTCAGAAATTTTCGTAATTTAAAAAAAACTTTTACTCAGTAACAAAGCTATAAAATCTAATGCAAGGTTCTGCATAAGTGTATTTAATGGAAGTTCAAAAATATTATAGAGATTATTCTAGATTGATTAAGATCTTGAACATTGTACTTTTAATCTCTGAAGTACTTGGTTCCAATTTTTTACCAAAAATCACCCTCAATGTTAAAAATGTGACCATTTTTACTGCTCCTTAACACTTAGGTGACATCAGACACAAAAAATAATACACATGTGAAGCCAATGCATTCATTGCTCTTTTAAGGTATTAAGTGCCCATTATATTTTTTGGGTCTTTAAACACTTGAATAGTTTATTTACTATGAATTATGATATATACATTTTTTAACACATTATTATTAGCTATTCAGTTTTTAACTTAACCAGTAAAAAGTAAATTTTTTATTTGAATCTTTGTTTCTTTATTGTTTATTATAATTTAAAAATGTATGATTAAAAAAGTACTTCCCTATCAATTAAAACATATGCATTATCTATAAAATAAATGCAATTCATAAAGCAAGACAAAAATAAATGTATAAAAAAATATGTAGGTATTGACATACATTTTTCAGTTTTAATCTTTTAATACTGTTTTAACATGGTTTTTTCCTAGACTTTTTATTCTCAAAGTCTTCTATAACAGTATTATTAGTGTTATTTTCATATCCTAAACTTGATGATAGTTTGATACTCTTTGAAGATAGATTTGTTTAACTGTTTTTGGCTCATGGTACTTTGAAGCTCTTCTTTAATTAAATTTAACTTGAAAAATGAACGATTTTCACTGCAGTTGGCAATCACCATTGATCAAAATATTCAAAAGGATATTATTATGTTTGGAAATGTTTTTTCTTATCTATCTGATTCTAAACTGTGTTCTAAATATTTGTATATACTAGAAATACTGAATTCATAAATTTTAAGTGTATTTTAAGTGTCTTTTAAATGTAAACATTCTAAAATGAATTCATTATAATTAATATCCACATAATAAAATTGCAAATGTCTTATGATGTATTTCTTTTGTCAAAAAATCAGTATATTGATTGATTTGTATTATTTATTACAATTTTGTAAATGCATTATTAATGTATAAGTTTTTATTTTGAATTTTTCTTTTCCAAGAAACTACAAACTTTTGTTAGTCTATTTATTGGGGAATGTCCTTTTCTTAGTTCATTGATGTAAATCTTTATAGTTGGAATCTGGAAATTGTTCTGTAAGGATGATTTCATAATTATCAAATTTGTCTCAAAATTCACTTAGAAAACCAGCAAGAGAATCAAATAATTTTGAATTGACATTCTACATCAATGGTGAGGTTTTCTTAGTTCATTTTTGTTTCTTTCATTAATTCTTAATAACATTTTACTCCATAGTTTAGAATGAATAATATTTTCTAGTTTTTCAATTTTCTTAATAAAGCACACTTTTTAACAACTTAATGTCCACCTTTGTGAATAATGAATGTCATTTGACCTATATAAAAAGGCCAGGAGTGGAATCAACATTAATTGAATAATATTTAGCCATGTAAATTCTGAAATAGTTGTATTTAGCACTTGTCTCCCCATTATTTTAATAATCTCATTACATTGGATCGGAGGAAAGCAGGTTAAGCTCTAAACTATTTAACTCGAGAAATGCAGGATTTCTTCTGCTTTGATTTCCATATTCCTTTAAAAGTTCCAAAAGAAGTAGATGAAATTGGCTTATTTGGCTTATAAACTCTAAACTGCCCAAATAGTTCATGTTATGTTAGGATTCAATGATTTGATTTTCTCTGCAAAACTCTCTTGACAATAATAATTTTATTGCAGCAATAATTATCTTCAATTCTTCCTATCAATAATTTGCATTCAAGTTTATTTGATTAGCCATTTCTGATCTATGCTACCAATTGTCCTTACAGAAAAAAGTCATAGCAGATTCTCTGTGCATTGAGCTATTTTCATGTTCCAAAACAACCTTATGAGCATGTTTCCAGCCATTTAATCCATGTTCACAACTAATTCTAGTTCTTTTAGAAGAAAAGAAACAATATGGAAAACAAATTAAAGCTTTTTTTGAGGGAGAATAATATAAAAGCTACGACTTATCAATATTTTCACAATTTTTAGTTGGCGTGTAGATATAAACCTGGTTAAGTGTTTCATTTTAATTTTTCAATTTTTTGATGATGTATAATTTTGTGTGGAATTCAAAAAGTTGCTATCTTTATTTTGTAAAAATATGGAATCTTTTCTTATATACCTATATATTTTGTTTTACCTCAGTCAATGTTTTCCAGTTTCCAGCATCATTTTATATTAATGAATTGCTGTCAAACGTTTCTGAAGCATCAACAAACTATTTTTTAGGGATTAAAGAAGAATATTGAAATAAATGTGATTGTTGGTTAATAATAATCGATTTTTGGACTATTAGTAGAATTAAGTTGGTTTCTTTTCTTCTTTGGGAAAAACAGAAAAAAGATGTGTTAGCTTGTTAGGTAAGAAATTTATGGTTTTTGTTAATTTCTTTCATCATAACTTTCTGCTCTTTGAAGCACTACTAGGATATGAATGCTTTGACATTTTGGAAATGTTTATAATTTATTGATAGTCAGAAAATCTGGAAGCAGTGACAATCGTCTACTTAAAAAAATATCAAATGTACATATAGTTGGTATCTAAGTAGATGATGTAAAAGTGATGTTATATACAATATTTGTGTTGATAAATTAAATAATACCTAATTATTTAAAACCTCATCCACTTTTGAGCATATTGAATAGATTTTTAGATACTAAAATAATCAACAGAAACTAAATTATAATTTGCAATCGGCAGGTTACAAGGTTGTCATTCACTGCTAGTGTATGAATAATAGAAAAAAAAAGTTAAAAAAATCAAAATTTTTTCCTACCGACTTATTTGAGGTTTAAACACTTCCATTTCAATAATCATACTGTAAACACATTTGTATCTTCATCATAACTGAGATTACTAATTGTTTAATTATAATTGCTGTTATGATAGGTACCATTCTCAAATATATCAAATGTTTTTTTTTGACCTGAGTTGAGTGTGTAATTAACCTATTTATAATCATAATAACAATAAAGTAAATAATAATTAAGATTAACTTTACTGTAGTGTTAACTTACGAATTGCACAATTGGACATAGTGACAATTGTTAATTTACCTTAAAACTTAAAAAAAAAAAAATAATGAAAAGTATTATACTAGAGATTTTCTGTAATATGCCAACAGGAATTGCCAGTTGACAATATTTGGGGGTATCTACCTCCCCTAAATCATTCAATTCTATAGTGGTTAGGACCACCCACTCATCAGTGCTAATCTTGTAACAACACCTGTGAGTGTTTCCACTGACTAATTTTTAATTACTTACATTGGTACTTGGCTTAAAACTGTGTAATATTGAATTTGTAATGGGATGATTAAATGCATGTATGTTGAATAGATTTCTTATTTCCTTTTACAAATGTTTTATTTTATCATTATACATTTAAATCCCCTATACTTAATTTCCATACTTATAAAATTTCTCTCAAAGACTGCAATTTTTAATTTTTTCAATTGAATAGGTAATAACTAATAAGCTATAACAATTCATCTTCACCCACCTAGATTTCAATTTTTAAATTTTATCAAACAACATTTTTTAAATTTTAATTAGGATTTGTGATTTCAGCTGATTATTATAATTTAATTGGTGAACCTATACCGTATCGAAAACTAGGATACAACTCTTTAGAAGAATTTCTTGAGCCTCTCAAGGTATTCAAAATAAAAAATAAAGGATTCCACAAATTTGTGAATGTTGTCAGTGATGGAAAGACTCAACACTTAGAAAAAATGATAAGCAAACAAAAAACCAAGGTAGTATGAAATAAATATATTATGTATTTTGTTTAAACTAATATTTAAAACTCTTTTAGGAATAATATAGTTTCATCAAATATGATTTTATTGATATTTGTGTTTCTTTTCATTTCTATTCCCAATTATAGTCAATGAATTATTTATACATTTCAAACAGAATGGTAGACCATTTTATACCATTATGTTAAATTTCAACAGTTGAAATAATTAATATATACTTAAGCCAATAATTTTGTAAGTAATTTTTATTGATGTTTATTTATTTTAGTCTAAACGTTCAAAATCCAAGTTATCTGCAGTACCATATAAGAATTTGAATAATACTCTTAATGGTTCCAACAATGCTATGGTAAGTTTTATAGTATTTTATCATCTAGTTTTTTTTTAAAAAGTATTTAGACTGTAAAATATTATTTTTCTGTTTGTCATACCTATGTAACTTATATTCTATTATATTCAAAAACCGAGTATAAATCACAATTCAAAGACATTTATATTGACTCGACCACAGGTGATGTAGCCGGTCTTGGGAGAGATATCGAGAAATTAATGAAAAAATTGCACGGTACGGGATTTGAACCCGCGACCCACGCGCCGGACTACCGGACGTGTAACACTGGGCCACCGCGAATTATTAATTAAATCTCGATATTCCCCCTTTAGGCCAGAGTGGCAGTGTGTACGGTTGAGAGAGAGTGATGAGGCGCTGGGGCCGTGTCAATATGAATATTTATGTCTTTATAGAACAAATACATATTTTGATAAATAACCTACTTAAACATTTTTATTTACTACTCATTTTAGGTATTATTAAATAACTTTTATCTAATTAATTTTTAGTTAAAATTATATTTTCTATACTTTTCATTACCTAATTTCTTATTTATATAATTTAGAGAAATATGCAATTTGATTTATAGTCTTCAAACTGTTATTACCTTTATTTTTAGTTATTTTACATGTGCTTATGATTATTTATAGCAATATCGGTTGAGAAGAAAAAGACAATCGGTCAATTATTTTGAAAATCGTACCGCTGATGGAAATCCTACCATCAAAGAAAATGTTAGACCTCCAAAAATGAAATATGTATGTATTCATTGATTAAAATTTTTAACTATTTACTATGTACAATGTAAAATTTATCATTAGGCAAAAATGACTAACCATTAGAAAAAAGGGATTAATACTATCAATACTATAACAACCACAATTTAAGATACTACATTTTGTATGCGTAGTAAAGCCCATGACATCGATAACATTTTTGAACAACTAATATCTTACATTTTTTTACTATTTCAAGGCTGTTTAAATTATAAACACATATATGTTCCATAAATTTACTACTTTTTGATTATTAATTAATTAATTTTATTATTGTATTTAATATATTATGTGATAGGTTTTTTATGGAGAGGTATTCATTTTTTACTGTGGTGGTATTAGTAATCACACTTGGCCCCCAAACCCTATCAGGCAGAGCTCCCCCTGTTTTTCCCATTGAAATTAAGGGCCATGTCATGATATACATTTTGGCGGGACCGGTTTAACTGTATAGTATGGTAAATGTATGGTATCTACATAATGTAATTTGTTTTTTAATTTGTTTTAACTGGATCTAGCAAAACACGAATCGTAGCAACTCCCGATTGCATTCTTTTTTGCAGTCACAGAAAAAAAATGAGAATGTTCTTTTTATGTTACTTATTAAATGTATTTATAAAAATTTTCATAATGACAACTAGTTAAAGTATATTCTAGTACTTATAACTTATAGTATATTGTACATTTACCTCATATTAATACATTTAATTATTTTAATTTCAAAGAAACAAAAATAAGTAAGTAGTGTTACTTTAGTAAGGGTTTATTAAACTACCACTATTAATAACAAATTTTAACTCCAGCCAATATTAATACAATTTTTGCAACTACTTTAATTTTTTAAATGAAATTACTCTTTATGAATATTAAATATATCATTGATTATTATGTATATAATCATCGAAATTAAGTAAGATTAAACTGTAAAACCATTTATGTTTCAACTGCTATAACTGGGTTAATAGTAATTTCATCTATTTTGTTTGTACCTACTGACAGAGCCGCATTTAACGGGAGACAAGGGCAGGCAATTGCCCCGGGGTGGACATTTTAAGGTGATCGAGGGGCGTCATATTTTTAGAAAATATTTCATACTATAATATTGTACATTCTCCGTTACAAATTTTGTATTAAATTTTTAAAATAATACAATATTATACACTTTAATATTTTAAAACTAATGGAGAAACGTATTAAAAATTGTAATATGTTTCTCCATTAATATTTAATATATTTCTGCTGTTTTTGTGATAGCATAAAAAGAGAGGTGAAAATCATATGATATTTTTTAAAAATATGTAGAGGTGGCAAATTTTATATTGCCCCGGGCAACAATTTGGATAATACTGCACTACTTACTGATCTTTTGTAGTAGCAATACAAAAGTATTGTCTTAGGGTTCAGACTCGGTGATCCATTTTTTTTTATACAGAGTGTAACAGAAAGATATGACAAATTAAATTACTTGTGTTCTTAGCAATATTAAAAAATTTTTTTATTCTTATATAGTCAATGGTTGATAATAATTAATATGGGTAGTACACGGGTCTATTAATTCAATGAAAAAAAAAAAAAAAAAAATATTGATTAGAACAAAAGTTATTTCATTTGTTATATCTTTCTGTCACACTCTTTTTATGTATCCAGTTTTTACTATTTCCTTTTAATTTTAATTACCTACATCCCAAAATTAATTTATAAGCAGTAACAAAATTAACAGCTGTGTAATAAATAAAAAATATAACCACTACCTAACTCAATCTTTTTTAGACCAAATTTTCGAGTTGTATAAACTTACAACAATTTTAGTCTCTAGTATTGTATAAATTGCATTTATATCAACTTTAAATTAATATTTTTAATTATTTCAGGAAAATAAATTACTGAACAACGAAAATAAATCAAAAGTATTTGCTCAAGACCGATTACAAAAATATGGGAAAAAAGATATTAATCAAATTGAGGTTAAGGTAATTATGATAGAAACAAACCATAGAGTCTAAGGTATCTATTTATAAATTAAAATGCCACATGCATGTCCAGTATTCAGTAGAGGTTGTTGGGTGGATAGTATACGTATTTTATGATGTTCATATCTTAAGTTAATTGGAAATACTTAAAAGATATACATAACCAGAAAAAAATGATTTTATGCTTGTTTCTGATACTTAATGGTATGAAAAATGAATATGAAAACAATTGGTGAAAAAAAAGTATTTTAAGAGTTATAATCCATATGTACTTGTGATGTCTCTGTGCAGCACCAGTATAACAAGAATACCTCATAACAATTATTATTAGTATTATCGTTAACTATTGATCTTTATCATAGACTGACATCATTTAATTCACAAAAATGACCAGGTTGACAATGGAAAACTAAAAATATTTTTGTATTGATGTTTTTAATTTTTGTCTTTTCAATATTGTTATTTGGCTCCTGGTTTTAAATGGGGTGCTTTGGACTTGTGTTTGTCTCCTAATAGTTTTTGTTTGATAATGTCGTATTCATCAACATCTATAGTTGTAGTGAGATATGACTAAACATTTTATACTAAAATTGGTACATTTCTTAAAATGCGTTGCCGATATTTTGTGGTTAAGAGGACGTGATACCTGCGTGTGTTGTCTCTGTCTTACAAGTGCGTAACATAGCAAATTTTACTCTCAGCACAACACGTGTAGCTCCGTTAGTTCAAAAATTAGTGCGAATTGACCTCTTATAAAATCTAAAGGTAAGATATTATCTAGGCAACCTCATAGGTTTTTTATTATATTTTAATTTTAACGCGAGTTATGAGTATTTTAAAATTGTAAATTTTTTATACATCTTAAAATACTTATAACTCGCGCAAAACAAAATATTTACAACAACAACTCGATGTTACAAGCACAATGTACTGACGATTGTGTTGGATACTGGAATCCTATAATATGTATTATTTAGTAGACAGTATTGAATATTATTTATTGTAAACTAAAAATAAAATATCAAAACAGAATCAGTATTAAACACACATAATATAATATAATATTTTTAAATAATCATAATACCTTTGAATACCGAAAACTCGGTGGCTGAAATGTTGTCTTTTAATTGGAGGTATCCGCTATTCAGATAGTTAAGATTGTAAAAAGTTTGTAGTTAGTTCCCAAGAAAACAACTTGTTATTGAAAGGTGTCCGTTTCATTGTATTAACAATCGGCAGACAAGAATATTTTTATACACATTATTCATACGGTTTGCTAAAGCCACCTACAAGTGCCAACATCCGACGTGATGACTTCTCATGCACATTTGGATATCACTTTAACTATAAATAATTTTTTTTTCACATTTTGTTTTCATTGGTATCAAAACCAAACATGATAATTTTTTTCTTCTACATAAAACATAAAAAAAAATATCGACAAGACATGAAGATTTGGCGAGTGAGTTTATAGTTATTAAAGTTGATAATGTTTTAACTATGCGTTGTACTTGAAAATATTCTTTGAGCTGAGATAAGAATTATTATTTTTTAATTATTACTTATCTTGCAGCCGTGCAAAATACTTTAGAACATGGCACAATAATAATTATTAGGTACTTATTATATTTAATAACTAATCAATTTGTTTTTTTCAGAATGAAGAATTAAAAAATGAGACTATAATTGATGATTCATTATTGGAACTATCAGAGATTTTCACAAAAAAATGCAATATCCAGGAAACGGTAAACTTAAAAATTTGGACTACCAAACTTTACACATGCAATGAGTTTGGTGTTATGCTTTATTTTCTCTCTTTAATTTTTGTTATTTACATTTAAGCTACCATTATACTTAACATATGTTTTTATTTATTGGTTTGAGCTTGAAATAGTAATACAAACTACTACCCAGTGGCGTACTCAGAAATATGTAATGATAAAGTGTTTTGCTATGTACTTGGAAAGAGGCAGAATGGTATTATTTCAACTTTTAAGGGGGGATGCAAAAGTATTTACCAGCCTATTTAACTTAAAAAACTGCTTGTTTTGCTTGCACAATCCTTAAAATTTTGTTTAGTTCAATACAATTAACATTTTAAATAATTTTATACGTACTATCAAATAATGTGGGTTGCTAAATAAATACATATTTTTTTTATATAGACAATGTATAAAATTCATAATAATTTATTATTAGAGTACAATGTCTATTATATGAGGTATTTTGGCCAGTGCATTAAAAACTTTCTCATGTACCTATTAGTGAAACTTCTGTCTGATCTGCTAAAATAGTTTTACCTATTAAATGGAGTCTAAAAAAATATATACTAGAATACATTTTTATTGCACACATATCATTTTTCACAGATGAAATCTCAGTCTTAGTATACTACTGGTGATATGCATAATACTTTTATTGAATTTTAGGAAACATTTCACTCTCACATAGTGTTAATGCTTCCAACCCTTTTTTTTGGATGTTGACCATATTCAACCAATACCTAACAAATTATATTAAATTTATAAAATAATATAAAATATAATAATCATAATTACTTTAAATCTTAGCTGACGAATTTAAAATGCTGAATCTATTACTATTAATAAAATGTTTCATCTATATAAGTATTATCAGGATTATTCCACTTGTATAATCAAGGTCATCTAAGGCCACCACAAAAATAAATAAGTGGAAATAATTCTACAAATTCATTAATTGCTGTAAATCTTTCAACCAATTTTGTGGCTCATACAGTTTTAGAAATTTTGATTTGGTATTTAAGTCAGTCTCATTAATAACACGTGATGGCATTTTTGTGTTAAGTATTTTCAAATATTACATTTTTTAAGCACACCCAAACTCTTTTGTTAGACAATTACAAGCTGCAGAAACGTCCTCATTTAATAAATGAGCAGCACAATAAACATATTGATTAGACCTTAGGACATGTTCCCCTTATAATTGTTTAAGATACACTTTAAAGTTTCCAGCCATGTTTAAAGCCTTAGACAACCTTGACTATACATATTAGTGTACCTAATCTATTCCATACCTATGAAAAACAAAATATTTATTTATGATTATTAAATATTAATAATTTATGCAATATTTAACCTTTACTATGGCGAATATAATATATTTCCCTCTTAAGTTGTTAATTTCAATACATTTTTATTTTTTCTGTTTCACTCTAAATGTTAAACTACGTACATAATATACAAAGTAAAAATATATAAACATGTAACATTGATTAATTATAAAAGATATTAGTCGTTAGATATTAAACAATGTTGAATTTAGTCGTTCGTAGCAGTTCTATATTATCTACACATTAAAATGAATTGATTAATTTCTGAACTTTGTAAGTTTATGGTTCATAAATACATAATTAAATAGGTTAAACAGGTGATAGACATACAGTTGAATTTATGTTTATAAAAATTAATTACCAATTTAATATGAAATATACAAGTTTGAAATTTTATTTGAATTGTTCATCATATTATTTATAAGGCATGCAGTATACCAATACAACCTAAACAAATACCTTCATATTACAATGAGCAGACTAACTTGGAAATAAATCAGTATACATTTGAAAGTAAATGCAAGAAAATTGTAACAGTAGTAGCTGTGTTAAGTCCTTCAAGCATTTGTGTCATATTGGAAGATAGCAATACTAATGTAAGTTGATTATTGTTGAATTTTATTAAATACCAGTAATAATTAATGTATCAATAATGTAACAATACATTGACACTTAAAAATCTATAATTGTAAAACAAAACCAAATTTATTCACTAGAACCAGAGCTTTAAAAGATATTTGGTCAGGTAATAATATATTAAGTGTGATCTTAATATATAAATATATTATAGTGATAAAACTATCATAAAACAAATAATTTAATTGGCAAATTTGATGAGATAATTTCAAACATATATTTCGTAAACTAAGATTAAAAATAAAATAGTTTTTTTATTTTGTTATATTAGTCATGAAATTATAAATTTCTATTTACAACTATGGCCATTAGCATTACATTTGTATATATATATATATATATATATATATATTCACATTTTAATAATAATTTATTCAACTAAAAATTGACGGACGAATCCAAATAGAAGAAAAATAAAACAAATACAGTTTTAAAATATAATTTAGTTATTTAAGTGCAAAATATAATTTTATGACTTACTATTACTTAAATAATTGCTAACATTCAATCAATAATTTGAATGTTTTTCAGACAGTGATAACTATATTAAATAAATTGAAACCATTTGATGAATTCCCATTCATCAAAGAAATTGTAATTGAAAAATTGTTGGAAACCAAGTGTATTCTAATTCCAAACAGTGTAATTACAAATCCCCCTACTGTCACTCTATATTATTTGGAAACTTTGATGAATATAAATGATGTCATATTCAGTAGTTTCTATGAAAAAGTAACACCAAAGATTACTTCTGGAGTAAGTTATTATTATTTGTAAATATCAAGTCATGAACATAATGTTATTTTTTGTTTGAATGTATTGTAGTCAATAGTTATATCAATAATTATTATGATAAATATAAATATAAATTGTATTTTTTTCTTTGTTATTTGTGTAGGATAAATTTGATTCTAGCGAAGCTAAACTAATATCAATTGAAGCTGGATACTGTTATTTGCAGTTTAATCAAGATTTAATAAAATCCCTGGAAAAACTTTTTTCATCTGATCAATTTTCAGGACCTTCTTTAAAAAATTGTAGAGATATTGATTATAAAGATACATATTTGGCTTGTTATAAATCAAACATTAAGGGTAGAGTTAAAGTGGAGTATTTCGTTAATGATTATCAAGTAATTTATCATGCAGATTTTATTTTATACTAGTATTTAAGATTATATTTTTAATTAAAATTTAAAAACTAATTTTTTATCAGTTTAATACTATTTAATAGATGGTTTTTAATTCAAAAATTAATTAATAATTTGTCTATATTATATTTGTTATGTAAATAAAATAACAGTTTTGTGACAGGTAATAATTTTTTTGTGAAAAAATAAAGTAAATATGTAGTTTTAATGTATTTTTAATATTCAAATTTTAGGTTAAAGTATTTTTTATTGACTATGGCTGTTTCAAGATTGTTGAAATAGATACACTAATTGATTTGCTCAGAGTTGACGCCCTTCTTGTTCGAATTCCAGGTCAAGTAAGTTAAATTTGCTTTTAAGATAATGGAATTGCAACACCGGGAGTGGTATCTGCCTTACAAAAATAATCCCTTAACTACATAGCAAATGTAAGTTCAGCCGAATTTTTGTGTTGCAATCTTTGTAAGTCACTGTGTTTGTATTTCAGTCTTTTAGGGTATTTCAATTTATAAGTGAATATTATGATTATTTTTAAATACTCATCCCCTGCTTAACAGTTTTAATATTGTAAAAACTGACATACAAACATAGATAATGTTCTTACCTCTAAGTTAGATTAAGGGTCAATTCACTCTTATATTAAAAGTACATAGGAAGAGTTGTACATTACATATTATTAAAAATTGAATACCAAATTTTATTTGAACTCAAAAATTCAATATAATTGTTTTGTAATAAACCATATGATATAATAAGTATATTTTTAAAATAAAAAATAAATTAGTAATAATCATAATCAAAATAAACAGTAATATATATATATGAGTGCCCTAGTTATAGTCACCCGTACACCTAAATGTTTAATCCTGTCTTAGTTTACTATGATTTCATATTTTCAAACAGGAATGCCTACATAATATTTGAAAATTTTATTTTACTATTTCTGAGCATGCAATTTGAATCCGAAAGTAAGAAAACAACTTGGGCTTTCAGATTCTAATATTATTTTTCAGTAGTTTTGTTAAGTACGCTGGTGTGCAAACTATGCATAACCGAAAAATTGAACAAGCACAACTATCTAACACAAAAAGGTTTAAATTAATTATAACAACACCTCAACAATCTACAGAATTTATATTTGCAGTTATTTACATTAAATTTGATTATCAACATTTGTTGTGCAAAATAGTTAAGTGATAATGCTTTAGTCAATAAAATTGATATTATTTATACTTTGTAAGTATATAATAGAAATATATTTTTTTCTTTTATTGGTCTTGGTTACATTATATACTACGCTATTAGTTTACACTGTATTTACATATAATTTATAGAAAAGTTTATGCTTATATTATTTACTATAGAAATTTGATGATATTAATATTTGATTGGAGGTCTGGTTATAAAGCTTCTCCTAGTAATGTGGTATATTGTATATTTCAAATGTGTTTGATTTTTGAGTCTTCAAACAGGTTAGGTTAGGTTTTTTTAGTAGTTGAATAAAAATTTAAAGTGCATTAGTAGTTTGTTTTAGTACAAATTACATAATTTTTAATTTTTATTAATTTGTACACATTTCATTGATTATTAAATAACATGCTAACTTTTTCATTCTAATTTATTTTTCACAAATTTAATATTTTTTAAAATATACATTATAACATGATTATTTATTACTAGTATATACAGAAATTAACAAAAATTAATTTTATTATATTTATTGATACCCATTTATTCACTTAATTTGATCAATTAATAAAAGCTTATCAAATTCAAGTTTTCCACTATATGTCATTAAATGCTATTTTTAACATTGTTGTTTGTATATTTTAGATTTCTGTGTATATTTTGCTTATTTTAGCTCCCACAACTCCCAAGCCGTAATAATCATAGTTAGGTACTATTTTATAATAGAGTAAAATTATAATATATATAATAAACACGATTATTAAATAAAAAAAAAAAATGAAAGTTTTAAATGTCAAAAATAAACAATGTTAGTATATAACATATTTTAATATACAATAACATAATTTTAATATAAATACAAGTGAATTATATTCAATTTTTGAAGATCTGTTTGGTTTAAATTATTGTTATGGTATAACATTTGTTTTATCATAAACTAAATGTTTATTATTAGAACAAAATATGTTACTGAAAATAGACCAAATTTTATTTTTTTTCTTGGGTGTGAAAATCCCTAGATGTGTACTCCACACAATTTATAAATTGAAGGGGGGGGGGTTAGTTTCTAGCCATTAGATGACTATGTGTTGAAAATATGTGCCTTTTTGAAGGTGATTTAAAATTGTTTCTTGAAATAATTTTTTTTTTGTCGTACTTAATTAATTAAATTGCTCATTTTAATTTGTAGGCTATTAAAGTGGCATTGCACATGTTTCCTCCCGAAGATGTTACTAGCAGAACAGAAGAAGAGTTATTTAATATTTTAGGGAATAATACCAATGTATCTATTTATAAACTTAAAGATTTTAAGGGACAAATTCCATGTGTTCAGTTATGGAATATTGCATATCCTGATACATTTATCAACATTATTTTATACTCAAGGTTGGTAATAAAAATAGTATTAGTATTTTTTGTCAGTAGTACAACCATTCATACAACATTTTATAATTTAAGTGCATATTTTAAATTATTTTATATTAATCAATTAATTGAATACATATACATTTCACTTTATCATAGAAAATGTAGAACTCAATTTTAAGAAATAATACCTAAGAATATATTTTTTTTTCATAGTATTAGTTTTCTGTCTTGCTTTTTGATATTGCTTGTGGCCTAGAGAGAGAAAACAAATATTGTGCTGACATCCTCTTAATATTATATTTACAGCTTTTTAAATAATATTATTTTATTTTTACAATGATTTTCGTTTATGCTTTAGATTATTCAAGTTTTGAAGCAATAAAGTAGCATTGGATACAAAGAAGAAATAATTTTGGATTCAATTAATAATATATTTAATATTTATCATAAGTTAAATAATATATTTCATAATGAAGTTGCATATGAAATTATATTATACGTCCAACATTTTTATATTTATACCTAAACATACATAAAATAAAGAGAGAACAATAAAAATGGTGCTATTTTTGTTATAAGTTTTTTATTAACTTCTCTTAATCACTGTTAAGATAATCAAAAAAATTTGCCCATTGTCTGTTTTGTAAATGTCACAATTTGTTATTGCTTTCAAACAAAAATATTAATTCAACAGTATTTAGCACAGCACGGCAAGATTATGAATGACAATATTGACAAGTCTTGGCTTTTGGCTTACAATCATAATGAATTTCCTTTGTTGATCAATCAATATTGTCAATCTCTATTTACCTATAAATAGGTATCAGGCAGTAGATTAGTGAAAAAGTATTATAATTAAGGTAACTAAAATATAATACTTATACTAATTTTGTATGTGTTTGAAGTTTACATTTTTTATTGTATTTTATTTGTAAATTAACAAATTCTCATAGAACAATTTTTCGTATTTTGTTGTAATTCAAATTGAATAACAGTAGATACTTAAAACTGTAAAGAAATTTTTATATTAGCATTTTTTATTCATTATAAAATTTTAAAAATATGTTTTTCTCTTAGGGTTTTTTTAAATATTAACAAAACAGTTAAAAATATAAAATATGCATTGGCACAATTTTTTTTATAAGAATTTAAAGTTTAAAATTTGACAAAAATCTTAAAAACCTCAAAAATGTTTAAACAATGACCTAGTTGCAAATGTATAAACTGTTCAGTTTGTATAGATGTTATAGGTAAGGATTGAAAATGTATCACAAGGTATGTTGTAAGTTGTTCATACTGTCACCAAAAAATAATAGTAAATATATAAGCATAGTTTTTTGTTGTTGTTATTTTAAGTTCAAATTTGAATGAAACAATAACAATCTTATTTGTTGCAATTAAAAAATATTATTATAATATATGCTGACTAACAGACCGACTCCACTCAGGATCATTTCTGTATGCAATGTTTAAATATCATTGGATTCAAATTTTACACAGTCCATATCAGTCATCCATTTGTAACCTACATACAGCTGGTATCCTCCTTTTTACTCTAATAATGTCCATAAAAAACTTTAACATAATTGTTTTATTTAAAATTGTAGAACTTAGCTGTAAAGCTGCTTACAATTAGGGGTAAGATTTTTTTCTCTGTTTATTTGTTATAAATATTTAAAGTTTATATGAGTTAAATAGTGGACCAATGTTTTTTTGCAGTACGCTCCACTCATAAGACTTTATATACATGTAGCTCTTGTCTAAAATTCAATTTTTATATACCAAAGAAGAAGAACTACTCAAAACAAAAATATTCTGATTGGAAATAAAGAATTAAAATTCATTTATTATAAGAAATACCAAAAATATAATTTTTTAGAAAAATGTTGTTTTATAATGATATAAATATTTTCAAAAACTAATCAACATTTTTGAAATACCCATTGAGTTTCTTATGTTGAATTGTATAATAAGTAATTAATTGGTAATGCAAATATAAAATAATACAGGATTACATTTAATAATGTCGAAATCTGTAAAAAAAATGTAAGTATAGGAATATTGAATACCAATTACAGGAATACGTCAAAATTATTCAAAAAAATTCATACAATTATTTTATTATAAATATACTTATTATTGTATATCGGTTAAAAAAATTAAAAATTAATCTTGTCTGTTAATAGATTGGTACCCATAAGTTATCCGTAATTAATATAAATAATTGTCTTGGTAGGTTACTTACTAAACTCAATTTTCTTTTGGTATGTCTGAGGTCACATACTAAACTTCTATGGTACTTATAACATTTTTCTGATATTTTTACAACAATTGTGGAGCTAAAAATACAAAAAAACTAATGGATACAAATAAATCATTACCTGTTAGTTATACTTCCAATCATATAATCCATCATGTTCATTATTCTAATTAAAGTTTCTTTAATCTTATAACTTATTAAATACTTAACTGACATTAAGTTAATACCAATCTTCATCTTTACTATATTTATTCTATCCCATAAGTTAAGATTTTAAACTTATTAAGTTGTTAGTTTCAGTAAAAGAGTCAAGTGAGTTTAGTCATCCTAGATCTTTTCCTAAGTATTCGGATTGTTGATCTTCTAACTCTTAGGTCTTCTTTGACAATTGTTTCTCCTTCCTTTTCTCACAACTAGGTATACAGATTTGATCACCCTTGCTCGTATACTCCATATGATCTGTATTTTGTCTATCCATCTATTCTTCAGCCACCCAAACCATCTCTTCCCTCTTAATCTACTCCAATAAAAATAAATCCAAGTTGAATAAAAAAAGGCCAAGTTAGATTTTTCTATTCAATTTAGATTTTTTGTTCAATTAATATTTTTTAATCTAATAAGATTTTTTCATTTAACTAGGCCTCTATTCATTCAACATGGCCTTTTTCTTATTCAACTTAGTTCCTTTTTTTTAATGGATTTTAGATTTGTTTTATTCAAAATTGATTTATTTATCTACAAACCAATTTGCAATTTATTTATATTTACAGTTAATTTGCTGAACAATTATACTGCTATACCGACCTATAAATATTTTTTTTATTCAAATTTTCATTTATTTATCTATAAACCAATTTGCAATTTATTTTTAAAACATTGGCATATTTTCGGAAACAATCGGTTAAAGTGAACCTTGGACCACACCGTTCGAAGGCTGTTTGAATTCCTATCTCAACGACCATGTTCCAAAAGCTTTCTAAGTTACGCATTCGACTTGAAATGTTTGCTACGAGTCATTCTCCCTCCATGACGTTTTCTCACCTGTCTGTTCAATTTGCTATCTCCGGATTTTTGTCGTTTGCTAACGCTTGAGCTTAGCGGACTACGTTCCGCCCGTTCACGTATTCTTATTGGGCAGTGGTCATCCTACCTCTTTGTTCCACTAGAATCATTTTGGTAATATACCGTCGTGGATTTCAAGACAGTCAGGAATTGACGAGTTTTGTCACTGGTGGACTATTGGTAATTATTATTTATTTATTTAATGAATAAACGGGTGTGAGCCTAGGTTAAAATAATTAGGTGAACAATACAATCATACAATAACGTAACATGAATAATATAACAAAGTATAAAATATAAATTAAACTAAACAATGAATACAAAAATAAAACAATTAAAGGAACAACGGATCCTCATTGGATAATTTCATTAATCTCGTAATAGGTTCATTTTTTAGATAGTTTCTAGTGCATAAGGGTATAAAGAAAGGATGATTATTGCGGGTGGACCTAACAGGAACTCTAAAGTTAATGAGAGTAAGAAGAGATGGGGAATCGACCGAGCCTGTTAGGAGTTTGTTAAGGAAAGAGAGATTATTGAAATGGCGACGGTCAGCTAGGGAGGATAAGTTAAGCAAACAGAGAAGAGGAGTGTAATCGTGAGTTGTGCAGTTTACGCTAAGAGAATGTTTCATGTAACATAACATTTTTCGCTGAACCCGTTCTAGTTGAAGACAAGCATCAGTTGATTGGGGATCCCATACAACTGAGCCGTATTCTACGATTGGACGTACAAGTGCACAATATATAGCTTTGAGGGAAGCGGAAAGCTTAAAGTCACTAGATATTCTTTTGACGAAACCCAATACCTTAAGGGCTTTGTATGTAACTCTGTCTATGTGAGCTCTAGAACAAAGAGAGGGAGTAAAAGTAAAACCAAGATCACAGATGCTAGAGTCAACTGGAATCAAATTAGAGCCATTCAATGAGTAAAGATGAGGTAATAGGAGAGCGACTTCTTGTGAATGTCATGGACCGGCACTTTTCAATATTTAATGTGAGACCGAGAGAATCAGCCCATGCGGAGATACTATTTAAATCATCCTGGAGTTTGAGACAATCATCGACAGAGTTAATTTCGAGGAAAATCTTCATATCGTCGGCAAAACAAAAGTTTGCTATGTTTGAGAGAGGAGTTAGCACTGTTAACAAACAAAGAGAATAGAAGAGGTGATAGATGTCCCCCACGGGGAACGCCTGAGGGAGAAAAAACGAGTCAGATTTAGTGTTGAACAAATTAACCCATTGTGATCTATTTACTAAAAATGAATTAAACCAAGATAGGATAGGATCCCCAAATCCAGTAGCACGAAGAACAGAGATTAGAACCTCATGGTTAACAGAGTCAAACGCCTTAGCAAAGTCGGTATATATGACATCAACCTGTGTTCCATTTTTAAAAGATCCGAATATGTAATTGCAGAAAACAAGGTTACTAGTAACCGTTGATCTGCCAGTACGGAAACCATGCTGTTCGTTGGCTAAGATCAAATTTACAGAAGGCTGAATTGCGTCTAAGACTAATGACTCAAAGAGCTTAGAAATATGCCCTAAAATAGAAATCGGTCTGTAATTAGTGACTGATGTACGGCAACCTGATTTTAAAATAGGAGTAATGGAACCAATTTTCCACATGTCCGGAAAAATACTATCATCTTCGAAATAGGATCCAAAGAGGATAAGAAAATAATGAACCTCGTTATGTAGAGGAAATCGCCAGGTATTCCATCGGGTCCAATAGAAGACATATTTTCTAAAGTATTAAGTTTGAGGAGGACATCGTTTGCAGAGAAGTAACAGTTGTCAGGTAAGTCGAAGAACTGTATATCTAATGTCTAAAGATTTGAAGTAACGGGCTCTGGAGAATAAACAGAACAAAAATGTTTAGCAAACAGATTAACACTTTCCAGCTAAGAAGAACTGTTGACACCATCTAAAGAAACTGTGTTCGGAACAGCATTGTGAGAACGATTCTTGCGTACAAAATCCCAAAATTTTTTGGGATTAGAGGATAGAGATTTTTCAGACTTTTCGACGAATTCTTTATGACATTTTTTGGAAATATATTAACATTTAGCACGAAGGAGGGAAAAAGCAGTGAAATCAGCAGGGTCGAAGGAAGATTTAAACTTTGCATGAGCTTTGTTCTTACGATAAA